GGTCCCCAGGGCTGCAGTGTGTCCCGTCCCCCCCCCCGCCCAGGGAAGGGAATAAGTGCATGGGGGAATGTGGGGGAGGAAAGGCAGCCCAAGACAGGCCAGGAGGCAGAAGGAGGGAGGAAAAGGGGAATTCAGCTGCAGATACAAAGGAGGAGAAGGACTGAGCAAAGGAATGGGGTAAAAGAGAGTAGACACGCCGGGGCCAGCAGGGAGACCAACACTGGTGTGGGTGGTGGAACAGTCACCCCTTGCACACAACACCCAAGGGTGCCTCCGGGTGCAGAGAGGGACCCCCAGCCAGCAGGGATCGGGAAGGGGGTGCAACAAGGCTGCGGGAGCTGAGCACCCCAGGTACCCCCCGAACCTGTCCCCATTGCAGTGCCAGGAGGGCTTGTGCCCCAGCTGCCCTCCCCCAGCTCTGCCATGGTGCTGGGGTGGCTTCCTGGCGTCGGGCTGTTGCTTTTTGAAAGTTGGACCCTGGATTTTTGCTCCGGTCCCTCTCCCCACCCCGCTACTGTTCGCTGGCAGCAGTGACTCATCGGTGCCGGGAGAGGAGCGGGGATTAATCATTCATAAAGTGCGCATGCACACACACGTGTGTGTGTGTGTTTGCGTGTGTTGCTCTGGTTGCTGTGTGAGTCATTCCCAGCCTGCCTGAGGCTTTGCTGCACTTCAATTAGCTGGGAAGCGAATCGAGCTCGAGCGCAGCGCAGCCAGGACGAGCTGGGCTGGCCGTGGCTCGGGAAGCGGCACTTTCGCCGTGCCTTTGGCCTTGCATCTCGCCAACCCCGGACCCCTCCATCTGCAGGAGATGGCTGGGGTGGGTTGTGCTTTGGGGTGGGCACCGATGCCCAGGCTCTCGCCAGTGTCCCCAGCCGTGGGGTGCAGCTCCCTTTCCAGCTTTCCTTGCTGCTGAGCCCAATTTCGTGAGCAGGAGCCCGCAAAGGAGGAAGCTGGAGCCCCCGTGACCACCACCTGCCGAGGTCCTGGCTCAGCCCCTCTTTTCTGGGGGGCAAAGGGGTTTGCTCCTCCATTCCCCTTGCCATTCCCAGTTCTCCCTCTCCAGTGCAGGAGGGATTGGCTTTGTAGTGCAAAGCACGGGGGGACGAAGTCCGAGGAGAGGAACCCCCCCCACACTACTGCACTGGGGGGTGCCAGGAAGCGTGTGGCAGATCTGGAAGTCACAAGCTGCTGAGTCTCGGCAGCGCTTCACGGGAGGCAGGGCACCCTGCTCCAAGCTGGCCAGCAGCTGGGAGGACTGGAATCACCTATGCTGGAAACTGGAGATACTGGAGGAATGGCTCAGTGCTGGTGGGACTGGGAATGGCTGGCACTGGGAGGTGGGAGAATGCGAAACAGCTGGTGCAGAGAACTGAGGCAGGAGAAACTGGACTCAACTGGTGCTCAAAATTGGGGGAGTTATAAACTGAGCACAGCTGGCACGGGAAACTGGGAGAAAGGATAAAACTGGGCACAGCTGGTACTGGGAAGAGCTAGGAAATGGGGGCAGCCAGTGCTGAGAGAACTGGGCAAAGCTAGTGCTGGGGAAACTTGGGGGGCTATCCTCTGGTGCCCCAGGGCTCTATGTCTGTGATGCTTCGGGGTGCTGGGGTACCCTAGGCAATGGTGTTTTCTGTGACCCGGGACTCTATTTGGATCCCTGAAGCCCAGAGTTTGGGGTGCTCCAGGGTCTTGTGCAGCCTGGGGCTCCTGCATTCAGGGTATGCCAGGACTCCCCGGCACCCTGGGGTCAGCTGCCGAGATGCTACCTGCCCTGTCCTGTGGGGCAGAGATGTCCTGGGGGTGCCTGGCTGCACCCCATTGCTGCAGCCCCTCTCAGGGTGCACTTTGCCCTTGCCAAGTCCCCCCAAGCTGAAAGCCAGCTTCAGCTGGGGGAACTGCCCTAGAAAAGGGGGGGGGGCACGGGGTGTTTGCGAGGGGGTCACCCTGGGCTGCGCGCCCCGGAGCCGCCCTCCCAAGGCCCCTTTTCCCAGGGATGCTTTTCCAGCCTTTCCCAAGCAAGGGCCTTGACTGATGCAAGTGGGTTGTCTCCACCCAGGTTTCGGATAACTCCACCCGCCTCCTCCTCGCAGCTCCTCCTCCCGGTGCACAGCCCAGCTGGGATATAAGCAAGTCACTCAGACAAGCGGGAGCAGCCGAGACAGCTGGGTGGGTGGCGTGGGACGCCGAGCTGTGACCTGTGCCGTGTCCTTCGCCTCGACGCCGGACCCCATGGCAACGCCTTCGCAGAAGAGGAGCACCCGCAGCGGGGCTTCGGGGACACCCTTGTCCCCCACCCGCATCACTCGCTTGCAGGAGAAGGAGGACCTGCAGGAGCTCAATGACCGTTTGGCCGTCTACATCGACAAGGTGCGCTCGCTGGAGCTGGAAAATGCCGGCTTGCGGCTCCGCATCACTGAATCGGAGGAGGTGGTGAGCCGTGAGGTCTCGGGCATCAAGGCTGCCTATGAGTCGGAGCTGGCGGATGCCCGCAAGACCTTGGATTCAGTGGCCAAGGAGAGAGCTCGGCTGCAGCTGGAGCTCAGCAAAGTCCGGGAGGAGCACAAGGAGCTGAAAGCCCGGTGAGTGCCCTGGGGACAGGGGGGGAACCGTGGCAGGACGGTCCCTGTCGTCATGCTTGGCAGGGAGCCGGGAGGGAGGAAGGAGTGACCTGGAGGAGGCAGGGAGAGGGGAAACCCGTGACCCGGCTGGGGCAGGAGTGTCTGTGGCAGGGACCAAGAGAGGAGGGAAGCTCTCCCAGCATTCCT